TGTCCTCGCCCACGTCTTCAGCTCCAGCTCCTGCGACTCTGCCTTTTCCAAGGGCTCCTAGGTTTTCTCAGTGTCCTACATGGCCCCAGCTTCTCTCCAAAGCTCATCTGAATCTGGCCGCCATCTCCTTCACGTCTCTGCCCTGCTCTGAGCCACCATGTCCCTCACCTGACTGTGACAATGGCCTCCTGACTGGTCCCTAGGCCTTCACACTGGCCTCCCAGTCTGCTGTGTGTGTGGCGCTATAGTCAGAGCAATTGTCATAGAACCCAGCGGGGGTGGCCCGTTTCCCCTGCAGGCTCTTGGACAGCGCAGTGCTAGGTGGGGCCCCTGGGGGTGGCCTTGGGGTGAGCTGGCCAGCAGTGGATGGCCCGGAAGCAGGAGCCGGCAGGCGCTGAGCACCTGGCCTCAGTGCTGGGATGGCAGTGGGGGCCCCTTCTCCCCCGTGGGGCTCCAGAGTGGCACCTGGGGCCCTTTGTGGTCCCTCCAGGGCTCCCTGGTGGAGAAGGAGGCGCACCAGGGCACTCGGGGCACAGGTGTTGACGGAGGGAAGTGTTGTATTTTAATAACAGAAGCTGGGAAATGATCGAAATACCACTCATTCGCACGTCTGGTTCTCCGGAGGTCTTCTCCTTTCGAACTTTTGTCCTTGACTTTCGGATGAGCCAGTGCCCAGCTTCTGATTTATGCTTCTTGGTCTCTGAACTGCTGCTCCTGTCTTCACCTTCTTCCCTTTGTTCTCCTCTCTGCAGGCCTCCTCACCCCTCCCTCTCCCCTGCCTTCCTTACACCCTGCCTGTCGCCTTTCCATACTCGTGAATGTCCCCACTCCAAAGGGACGTCCTTGTAGTGAGGACGTGGCGTCTTCTCGCCTCCTTGAGGGGTTTGTTTCAGGTGGGTCATACCCAGTTCTGCTTTGTTCCCTGTGTTGCTTATTTCCCAAGTGCCTTCGCCTCTTTTCTCCCCGCATTTCTTTAGCTGTTTCTTATCTTAAAAGTGGGGAAACTGAGGCCCAGGGTGACCCCCCCCCACACACACACACAGGGGAAGGGGGTAGGGGATGTGCAGAAGGGAGGAAGCCACTCTGAGGCCTGCTCCCTGCAGCCAGGAGGGGAGGCAGAGACCCTCGCAGAGGCTCTGAGCTAGCTGTTGTCAGCAGGCTGTGCTGTACGTGGCCTGTGCAGGGGCTGTGGGCAGAACGCTCTGAGCTGGACGCTAAGTCACCAGAGGTACCTGGGAGTCTGCGTCCTGCCCTCTCCCAGCACGCTGTGGGACAAGCTGCTCTGATGTGCCGGCCAGACCGGGGCAGAGGAGGACGTCCTGGTGCTGAGCCTGCCCCGGGAATTGTGATGCTGCGGGGTCCGCCCCTGGTGACCCTGGCCTCTGCCTGCTCCTGGGGCTGAGGAGGAAGTAGGGGGCTGGCCCTGGCACTCGCCCTGTCCACCCCCCACCCCGCCCCGGGGAGGGGAGGGAGAGATTGTGTATGTGAGTGTGTTGCACAGACGCCAGCCGGTGTTTACTCCCCTGAAGTTTGCTGACTTAGGCGACTTGGAAACAGACAATGCTGCAAAGTTCCAGTCCTGCTTCCCAATGCCCCGGGCCTTGGTTTTTGCCTCTGTCCAAGGGAGGGAGCGGGGTGGAGAGATGCAGCCCCTGGTCTGCTCCAGCCTGCCCTGGCTGACAGCGCACCTACTGTTTCGTGCCCAGGAAAAGAGGCATCCCGCTGCCGGCCGACACGGTGGAGGAGCTGCAGAAAGTCATCGGCATGGACCAGCCACTCTCGCTCCCTGGCTTCCTGGCCAAGTTTGACTACTACATGCCTGCCATCGCGTGAGTGCCCCCCACTCAGGGCCTGGGCGCCGCAAGCCCCGTGATGGCCCCCAACTCCAGCCTGAAGGGTCTGCGGTGCGTGCTCTGAGGTCCCAGTTCTGCTGCCCACCTGCGCAGGAAGTCTCTCCAGTGCCTTTAGGCCTTGGTTTTCCCTTCTGCAAACAGGGTGTGATGTGCAATGAAGTGGCCGTGACCGCTGCGCGGGTAATTCAACAGGTTCATGGAACACGGAATTAAAAGATAGGTTCCAGGCTGGTGTCTGGCACAGTGGTTAAGGTACCGCTTGGGACACCGATCTCGGAGTGCCTGGGCCCGAGTCCCAGCTCCACTCCCGCTGCTAGAGCTTCCTGCTGCAACGGGCTCCCTGGGTTAGGGCCCTGCCACCATGTGGGAGACCCGGGTGGAGCTTCCAGTTCCTGGCTTTGGCCTAGTGCATGCAGCATGGCTGTTGCAGGCATTTGGGGAGTGAACCAGCAGACGGAAACTCTTTCTTCCTTTCAAAATAAAGTAAATAAGAAAAAAATTTTAAAGGTGTTTATATTTTTTAAAAGAAATGCAAGTCCTTATTTTTAAGATTTACTTATTTATTTGAAAGGCAGAGTTACGGAGAGAAGGAGGGGCAGAGAGGGAGAGAGAGAGGTCTTCCATCCATTGGTTCTCTCCAAATGGCTGCAATGGCTGGAGTTGCACCGATTTGAAGCCAGGAGCTTCTTCCGGGTCTCCCACATGGGTGCAGGGGCCCAAGGACTTGGGCCATCTTCTACTGCTTTCCCAGGCTGCAGCAGAGAGCTGGATTGGAAGTGGAGTAGCCGGGATGCAAACCAGCACCCATATGGGATGCTGGCACTGTAGGCAGTGGCTTTACTTGCTACACCACAGTGCCAGCCCCAAAAGGTGTTTATTTTTTAAAGGATTTATTTATTTATTTGAGAGGCAGAGTTACAGACAGGAAGAAGGAGAGACAGAGAGGTCTTCCATTGCTGGTTCACTCCCCAATTGGCTGCAACGGCCGGAGCTGTGCCAATGTGAAGCCAGGAGCTTCTTCTGGGTCTTCTACGTGGGTGCAGGGGCCCAAGCACTTGGGCCATTTTCTGCTGCTTTCCCAGGCCATAGCAGAGAGCTGGATCGGAAGAGGAGCAGCCAGGACCTGGACTGGTGTCTCTATGGGATACTGGTGCCATAGTGCCGGCCCCGCTAAGTATATTTTGATGCTCAAAATCTTAATCTATAAGCAGGCTCTTCAAACTTTCATGAAAAGTGGGTGTTACTGAAAGAACTTTGCATGGACTTCAAAATTTGGTGTCAAAGACAATCTTTTAATTTCATTTCCTGCAAACCTTTAGAAGCGTTCTCACAGAGAAGTAGCAGAATATGCGTTAAGATCACAGATCCTGTCCTGTCAGACCTTCAGGACCTGTCATGCCTGCCCAGTCGCCCTCTCCAGGCCTCAGTTGGCTCATCTGTATAGTGGGCACATGGGTGGCGTTTGGAAGGGACCCAGCACTGTGCTCAGCAAGCAGCCTGGAGCTGTGGAGTGGCTGCTGCCGCCGGACAGCCAGGTGGTGACTTGTGTGTTACCTTTCACGCTCCCACTGCTTCAGGGTAGGATCTCCTTCAGGCCTAGAACACAGCGCTGCTCGGCTGATGGACTCCCACTCGCCTACTGTGGCTGCCGACCGTGGGCCAGGTGCACACAGTCCTCCTAGGCAGAGGCTGAGGTAGAGGCTCAGGGAAGTGAACACCTGCCAGGGACCGCGGAGCTGGCCAGGGCCGAGCCAACTCTCACCAGATGCCACCTCCAGCTTCTTGGTGCAAGGCCTGGTTCCCCAAAGCAGGCAAGAACTGGGGCCTGGCAGTCAGGGCTATGGGAGCTCAGGTGGTGTGAGGTTTGGGAGGTGGTTGGGGGAGGAGGAAGAAGCAGAGGAGCTGGATGCAGTCAGGGAAGACTGCCTGGAGGAGGAAGGGTGGGCCAGGCTTCAAGAGAAGAGGAGAGTGTGATGCTGCTCAGGAGGGTGTTTGAGTGAGACAGAGGCCACTGGCTGGGTACGTGGCAGGGCCGGTGTGAGGAGGCCTGGGGAGGAAGAAGTGGCCCAGGCTGCTGGCTTCTTAATGGAAGCTGCTGCCCTCAGCCTGGCCCCTGGGGAGCGGACATTCAGGCACACGTGCGTTCCGTCTTCCTGAAGGCATGCACGGCACGCATGCAGGTGCAGGTGGGGCTCCTGTCCCTGGTTCAGGGCTTCGTGTCGCAGAGCAGGGAGAGCCTGGCTGTGGCGTGGGGAGACGGGGAGGCTCAGGCTCCAAGGCACCGTTTTCCTGTCTGGGTCGGGGAAGCCTCTGCTAGGGACTGTCGAGGCCCAGAGCAGGGATGGGAGCGTGCAGAAAGAATTGGCCACGGCCCCTTCAACCCAGCCCGGGACTGGGTCCCACATGGCAGCCCTTGGCCTGGATTCCCTGCTCTGGTTCCTGACCCCAGCTTCCTGCTCAGGCCGATCTGGGGAGCAGTGATGCTCAAGGAATTGGGTTCCTGCCACGCACACGGGAGACATGGATTGCTTCCGGCCCCGAGCTGTGGCCACTGAGGGCACTTGCGGAGTGAACTGGGGACAGAAGCACATCTCTGCTTCTATGTCCCTCTGCTCAGTCAGTCCCCAAACCCAAGCTCTGCAGTGTCTCCCTTAGGGTAAAAGCCGAGGACCCCAGCCTTGGGCTCCGGGCCTGCACTTGCTGCCACGCCCCTCTGCCGCCTCCCTGGACACCAGGCACCCCCAGCTCAGGGCCTCTGCTTGCAGGGCCGCGCCTCGCCTGCTTCCTCTCTGCTCCAAACTCCTTCCCTTCCCATATTCAAAATCGCAGCAGCCTCTCCTTGGCCATGGTCTGCGGTACTTCTTCCATCTGACCTGCTTCAAAAAGTGCGTGGAAAACTTTCCTGCCTTAGGACAGGCTGTGCATGGAGCCAGTGTTTTTGCGCCAACTGTCACCTCGTCTTTCGAGTCCTTTCTCCATGGACTTGGTGGAAGCGTCTCGTGTGGTTTCACTTCTTTGCCTGCCCTGCCTGCCTCTTGCTGGCCTGTGGGCTTCTGGGCAGGGATCTCATCGACCTGTTTGCTGTACCCCTGGTGCCTGGACGGCGCAACCCCAGTGTGGCACGCACAGCTCCCCAGTGGCGGGGGCCAGCGGGGCGGCCAGGCACCTGCAGGCAGGGTGAGCGCTCTTGTGCCTCGGAGACAGCTCACCCGCAGCAGGCGGAGGCCAGGGATGCAGGCAGGGCCTGCCCATCCTCATCCTCTTGGCGCTACAGCAGCTCGCTGGTGCCAGCAGCTGACTTCTGCGGGCAGGGCCACTCCTCCCTCATGTGTTCTCGTAAGCGTCCGGTCTTCTCTCTGTGATGCACGCCAGGCCCTGGGCCAGTGCGCGTTGTCACAGCTGCGATGCCAGCAGCGGCTGCTCCAGGCGCTGGCCCAGGTGAGGGTCGGGTGTGACTCACCCGTCCTCACAGTGACCCGACGCAGGTGGCAGAGAGGTGACTGGCTAGCTTGGGTCACACCTGCATAGAGGGGACAGTGGAGGACCAACGGGGGAAGGGCGTGGGCTCGGGGCAGGGGCTGCCATCACAAAGGCCCAATGTGGGGACAAGCTGGGCTGTCCTGGGACGGAAAGGCAGCTGATTGTCTTGGGGTGAGTGCCAGGAGGACACTGAGGGATGCTGGCCAGGGGCTGGCTCCTGCAGGCCATGGAGTGGGGGTTTCCCTCTGTGCGGTGGGAGGCCGCTGGGGCTCAGGCGGTGGAGCAGTGTGCCTTGATGGACTATCTAGGGAGCCTCTGCCAGCTGCTGTGTGAATGGCATTACAGGGGCAAGCGTGGCGCCAGGGACAGCGGTCAGAGAGACCACCAGGGTGAGAGGCCAGAGCTGCACGCACTGTGTGAGGACCGCTGGCAGGATGTGTGTGCCCAGGGCTGGGGGCCGGAAGCTGGTTGGATCTGCAGTTAGAGGCAGCCTCGTCTGCTCCTGGAGCTCCCAAGGGACCAAGGAGCTGTCCCCAAGCTCGCTCTTCCCTCCCCAGGGGCTCGCGGGAGGCCATCAAAAGGATCGCCTACGAGTTTGTAGAGATGAAGGCCAAGGAGAAGGTGGTATACGTGGAGGTGCGCTACAGCCCGCACCTGCTGGCCAACTCCAAGGTGCAGCCGATCCCCTGGAACCAGGCCGAGTGAGTGACAGACCCTGGGGAGACCCGCAAGACTTGGGCTTGGCCCTTGCCCAGGCGGCTGTCACGCGAGGCCTGGAAACAAGCTCTGGGGGCTGGGGACTCCTCTGTCAGCGCTCAGGGAGTGGGGGGAGGGGTCCTTAGGCCCAGCCCTGCTCCTCCCCTCACAGAGGGGACCTCACTCCGGACGAGGTGGTGGCGCTGGTGAACCAGGGCCTGCAGGAGGGGGAGCGAGACTTCGGGGTCAAGGTCCGGTCCATCCTGTGCTGCATGCGCCACCAGCCCAGTGAGTAGGACGGCGGCCGGGCCTGGGCCTGGGCCTCCCGGCGTCTGTGCCCTGCTGTGTCCCGTCAGCCCACCAGCAGGATTCTGGGGCCCCGGGGGCAGACTCGGAGCTTCTGGGCGACACATTTTGCTCAGCAGGAGACTGGGTCAAAACCAAAGGCGCCCGAGGCCCTATGGGCCAGGCACATCCTGGCCTCTGGGATGGGAGGGGTCTCTGTAGGCCTTGAGCTCCCTGGCGAGGTGCCCCCTAGTGCGGCATTGGGCGAGTCAGGCCCCTCTCTAGACCGGGTCCCAGTGCCCACCCGGGGCTTGCTCTGTGCAGGTGCTGTGCGCGTGCCGTCCCCTGTGTGTGGCGGGACTGCCTTTGCCGATTCCCGTCTGACAGATGAGGGAACTGAGGCAGGATGTCAGGAAGCTGCCTGACTGGGCCAAAGCCTGGGTCATTTCTCCCTCCTTACCTCTACTGTGTAGGAGGCAGTGACAGGCGATGAGACCCGCTCTGCTTTGCATTACTGGGCAGGCCCTCCCTGGCCTCACTGCCCCCTGCCCCAGGGTACCTGTGGGCGTCCAGTGGGACAGCACAGCCTTGCCATGCCCCTCTTCAGCGCTCCCATTCATTAGGGGTAAACTGAGGCACGTGTGGTCTGGCCGCAGTGCCTCACGTCGCGGGTAGGGGTGCGTGTGGTGGGGTGTGCTGACAGCCCTGGCGGGTGCCTTGCCCAGCCTGGTCCCCGGAGGTGGTGGAGCTGTGTAAGAAGTACCGGCAGCAGACCGTGGTGGCCATCGACCTGGCAGGGGATGAGACCATCACGGACAGCAGCCTCTTCCCAGGACACGTGCAGGCCTACGAGGTGGGTCTGGGGGGAGGTGGGAGTCCGTCTCCCACCCACAGCTGGGAGGTGTCACAGGGACCAGGGAGTTGGAGGCCCCGAGTTCCCATGTGTGCCTTGGTTGGCCTGGGGGCTTGGAATGGGTATGAAAAGCCCCATATGGTGGCCGCGGTCCTGTGTTCCAGCCGGCATTGGCCTCTGGTGTGCTGTGTGACCTTGGGGAGGTCTCTGGGCCTGTCCGCCCGCCCGCTTCCTCTGTCAGACAGACCTTGCAGAGGTCCCTCCGGCTCCGTGATGCACTGCGTCGGGGTGGGGGGTGGGGGCGGAAGAGGGGGCCCTCACTGCCCAGGTCTCCGTGGGCAGTGTCCCATGCTGGCTGTTCCAGCTTGGTTACGTTGCCCAACTCCCCTGAGCTCTGCCCCCATAAAATGGCTAGCACCAGGGTTAGAAACATTAGACGACGTGTCGAAACCATTCCACCCAGTGCCTGGCCTGTGGAGCCGCAGTAAATGACAGCTACTCCTCGGGTGATGATGTGGCAAGGAAAAGGCGTGACTCGTGGGTCGGGAGGATGCTCCCAGGCGGCCGGAACGCCCCTCACCTGGCCCTTCCCCTTGCAGGAGGCCGTGAGGAGTGGTGTCCACCGCACTGTCCACGCCGGGGAGGTGGGCAAACCCGAGGTGGTGCAGCAGGTGAGGAGCTGGCCGGCCGCAGGCCCCTTCTTCCTGCCTCCCCCGTCTCCTGCCTCCCGCTTGCCTCCCCCCTGCTTCTCCACAGGCCGTGGACGTCCTCAAGACAGAGAGGCTGGGCCATGGCTACCACACCCTGGAGGACGAGGCTCTTTACAGCAGGCTGCTGCAGCAAAACATGCACTTCGAGGTGCGGCGACCAGCAGCGGGCGGGCGGGCACTGTCCTTGGCTGCCCTGCACCTCCCTGGGCAGAGGCAGACAGGCGGCGGGGTAGGGGGGCAGCAGGGCACAGAAGTCCTGGTGGTTCAGGAAGCAAGGTTGGCCCCGACGCTGGTTGCCCAAGCCCCGGGACACGGGAAGGGGTCGGCACGGCCTGGGGCTGTCGTGCCAGCCACCCACCTGCTCTTTCAGGTCTGCCCCTGGTCCAGCTACCTCACTGGTGCCTGGACGCCGGACACGGAGCACGCGGTGGTCCGGTGAGGTCTGGCCTCTGTGGCCCATTCAGTTTTGTTCCGGGAAAGCCAGGGATGGGAAGCACACTCAGGGATGGGGCACCAGCGGTGCTGGGTCTTAGATAAGCGCCCTCTGACTCCCCGGGGAGCAGGCAGTGCTGTCCTCGTGAGCGGGGAACCCGAAGCTCTGAGGTACTGGGACCTGACCGAGGTCACCCAGCCCCCAACCGAGCAGACGACCTGCCACTCTGGTCCCCCACCTTTGCCTCCTGGGCATAGGAAGATGGTCCTTTCTGCCCCCACGTGCTCCCTCCTGCACCTCTAGGTATTGCCCACCCCCCTACAATCTAATGAGCCAGGAGTCTTCTGTCCCGTGACTGAGCGCTGGTGGTGGCCTCAGGAGGGCAGAGCTGCTGTCCCTTGACACAGGATGATAGCAAGAACTTGGGCGACTGTGGACAGACCTGCCCTGCTCTGGCTGCTTGGGCTTTGACGTCCTGCTGACAAGGGGGGCTCGAGGCTGCCATGGGCTGCACAGCTCTGGGGGTTGGAGAAGCAGTGGCCCTAGGAAAGGCAGAATCCTGGACAGTGACCTTTCCGGGACAGGCAGAGGAAAGCCGAAGGTGTGACCAGAGATCTAGGGCAGGGGTCTCGGGAGCAATCCGCTGGGTCAGAGCAGGCGCCGGACCCAAGTGAAGCCAGAGCTAGGGAAGAGGCGGCCGGGGCTCAGCCCACGAGCAGTTTCCACGGTGTACTGGCAGGGCCGGGTCGGGTCCCAGGGGCACTGAGGAGTGGCTGGGGCAGGTGCCGCCACCTCTCCCAGAATACTGGCCGTGAAGGCACTTGCTTTCTTGGCTGGCTCTGGACTGGCCGGACGGGTCCGAGTTTCGAGTTGCTACCTCCCTGACCTAGACAAGTCACCTGAGCTCTCGGAACCTGCTTCCTCCTCTGGACCAGATCAGACCTTTCAGGCCTGGCCAGGTTGCCAAGGGCATCAGAGGAGGGCAGGGCTGACGTGCCACGCGCTCACAGCTTCTGCCCTCTCTCCCCTCGCTCCTCACCCAGGTTCAAGAAGGACCAGGCGAACTACTCACTCAACACAGATGACCCGCTCATCTTCAAGTCCACCCTGGACACAGATTACCAGATGACCAAACGGGACATGGGCTTTACTGAGGAGGAGTTCCAGAGGCTGGTGAGTGGGTGTGAGCTGGGTTGGCCTTGCCCCTGGGCCCTGGAACCCGCAGAAGTGGGGCCCAGGTCTGCCTTGACACAAGCAAGGAGCCTCCCCACACGTGTTCTGTGCTGACCTCTGGACCTCGGGCCAGCTGTTCCACCCTCAAAGAAGCCATGGAGACTGTCGCCCCGCCCCAGGAGGGTGTGTCCAGCCATGAAATCTCCAATACGCCCTGTAGGCCACTCCCAGCTCGCAGGCCAGCCAGCCCCGGAGTCTCCCATGCTCTCTCAAAGGCTCTCCCACTTCCTCCCCATCCCTGTGTCCTGTGGGGCCGCATTCAGACCACAGACCCTCAGGGTCGCTGCTCCAGCACTCACTGCCGTGCGCCCTCAGCCCGTCCCTTCCCTCACCCGCGGTGACGTGGCCCCACCCACGTCCCGCCCATGCCCCGCCCTTTCCAGAACATCAACGCGGCCAAGTCCAGCTTCCTTCCCGAAGATGAGAAGCAGGAGCTTCTTGACCAGCTCTACAAAGCCTATGGGCTGCCCCCGCCGGCCTCTGCGGGTACGTTCCTGCGCGACGTCGGCACGCGCCCCCCACCCTGGGCAGCATCCACCATAGTGCTGAGCCCCTGGTGACCGCGCCGTGTGTATTTTCTGAGGCTGAGAGGCTGGGCTGGGGCGGGTCCCAAAGGCTGCCCAGAGCCAAGGGCAGGTGGGCCCAGGTCTCCTTGCTGTGTGGCCTTGGCAAGGCATTCCCTTGCCAAAGCCTCAGTCTCGCCAGCTGTGGCAGGGCTCCTTGCTGGCTTTGGAACTTTGTCACGCGTACTGATCCTTGCCTCTCTGACAGGACAAGCAGGGCAGGACCCCTGAAGAGGCCACGGCACCTCTATGAGCTCCCGCCCTGGGGGTGGGGTCTTCAGCAGCGACCCCGCCTCATTCCTTCCAGGAAGTCTGAGTTCAAGGGCCGCTGCCAAGGCTCCGGATGCCAGTGCCCGCTTCGTGCACACACATACCTCGGCGTGGCTGCATCTCTCCTTGGATCGTCCTGGGCTGGGGACCAGGGCTCTTGCCAGTGGCGGGGATGGAAGCGCTGCCCAAGGCAACTCAAGCTGACACCTGGTACTCAATAAAGGGGCCGGTGGCTGGTGTCACGTGTGCTGTGATCGCAGGTGGCTGGGCTGGCATGGGGGGTGGTGAGACTGGGCAGAGCGGGGCCCCGGAGAGCTCGGGTGGCGGGGGCTGTGAGGCCGGGCGAGCCCCTCACGCCCCAGGGCTCAGAGGGAAGCCCTCCCTTGGGGGTTCCTGAGCCAGCAGCGCGCTCGGCCAGAGCAGCCCCCGCATTGGCTGCTGCAAGGAGACAGGAGCCTCAGCAGGTCACACGGACACCAGCGTTTATTTCCTGGGGCCTGAGCATCACTGATGTGGGCAGAGGGGTCAAGACAGATGCATGTGGTTTTGAGCCAAAATCCTTTCCCTGAAAAAGGGCTTGTGAGGCTCCCAGGGGCCTCGGGGCTGCGTGGAGAGCGGAGTTTAGCTTAAAAAGGCTTTACAAAAGTGAATCCACGGTCAGTACCCACCCAGTCTGCTGAAAAAGGTTTAAAGGTTTTAAAAAGGTTAAAAGTGTTTTTTTTAAAAAAGGGAGGTGTTGACCTGGTTGGAGCTCCAGAGGGGGGTTGGTGTCGGGACGAGGTCCCTGCCCAAGAGGGCGATCTGGGGGAGCGGGGGCAGGCCCAGCCCCTGAACAGGGCACCCACTGAGTGACATCCTGGGGCGGCAGTGTCTGGGGAGCGTACCTAGGCTCAGTGAGGAGGTGCTGGGAAGGCGGAGCCTGGGGCTGCCGCCAGAGGGCGTCCCCGGGGGTGGGGGGGACCCAGAGGCCTCAGGGGTCGTTCAGTCTGGCCTGGGGCATGGGGCTCAGAGAGGAGGCTGCCGGCCAGGGCTCCTGTTCCGGGCGGGACAGTGGTTCTCTCTTCCAGCCTCCTTGGACAAGGTCAGGCTCAAGCTGAAGCGGTGCCGTCGCTGCTTTCGGGCTGGCTGCTGGCCTCCTTGTCTGCGGTGCTCACCTCCCCCTGGCCTGCTGGAAAAGCGAGAGAGGGACAGGTTTCTCTAGGCACAGAGACATGGGGTGGGGTGGGGGGGTGATTGGCTAAGCCCAGGGAGCAGGACGGGATGAGGCTGGGCAGTGGTGGCCCAAGGGAACTCAATCTGGTCTGTGTTTTCCCAGGGGAATGTACACAGTGTCGGTAGTGTAACACTTAGGCTGGGGGTGGGTGCCCTAGAGCAAGCCAGCCAATGCCAAGTGCCCAATGGGTGCTCACAGGCGCAGGGCCGTGTGGGAGCAGGTGGCTGGGCAGACCAGGAGGTGAACTGGAGGGAGTGCCCCCCTCCCCCACCTAGCACCTCCTCCCAGGAAGCAGCAGTCTCTGGTTAGGGTCCACCCAGATGCAGCGTACCGCCCCAGCAAGCAGGAACTCTGCAAGCTGCCAAGTGAGCTCTGCCACGCCCTCCCCGAGGGGCCCTGCGTGAGCCCCTTCAGCCCATGCACTCTGCTTCCTGAGCTAGAGAGGACGGTGACATCCCCCCAACGCCCGGCCCCGCAGCCGCGGGCCTGTGTGTGGTCACCTCGCCAGGGCGAGGCTTCCTCCTGGCCAGCCCGGCCCCTCGGCCATAGGCAGGCCCTCGGGCCGTTCCTTCTGCCACCCGCTGGGGGCCTCGCCTGTTTCACCGTCAGGCAAAGGAAGGAAGCACACGTGGTCCCTGCAGGACCCTGCACAGCGTGCTTGGCGAGGCTTCCACAGGACCAGCCACAGCCTTCCAGGCAGCTAAGATAGGGGCTCCCAGGGCTGTGAGGTCGGAATGTTTGGGGTGGCGCCTGGAACTCTGCATTCCCTCTGCTGAGGCCTGTCACTCCTGCCCAGACTCTCCCCTGGCGGGCAAAAGCCACGGACCCAGAGGACCCACATGCCACGGGTCCCAAGTCAACCTCCTGAGGGCCCGGGGCCAGTGCTAGGGTGGAAGGAGATAAGACCGAGTTTGCTGGAGCCGAGGGTGGGGACAGCGCCTGGAGAGCACCATGGCAGTGTGCCCGGTGGCACAGCTGGGCTGCTGGTCATGCAGTCAGTTGGCAACCAGGCCTCTCTCCCATGTGCCCAACACCACCAGGCACCGAGGGCACGGGACCCAGACCCTGCACTAGAGGTTGGGGGGGAGGGGTGGCATGCCCCTTGCGGTAGCGGGGGTGAAGGGGCGGAGCGAAGCGAGAACCACGGGCGGCTGTGTTAAGGACCAATAGGGCCTTTCCAGAACGTACAGGGCTTGATGGGAGCAGGGAGAGAGGGCACAGGGGAGGAAGATGAGGGTGGAGGCTGGAGACCACTGTGCCTGCAACAGGCAAATCGCCTGGCTCCTGTGGCTTGCAGCTTGTCCCTATATAAGGTGGGGGTGAGGGGCATGCCCTGTCCCCACCCAGTCCTTTCAAGCCAGGGCTTTGCACTAGGGTTATATGGGGAAAACAGGGTCCAGGTCCTCCCAGAACAGCAGACAGCTGCCAGGCAGGTGGGGGCCACGTGACAGTCACAGTCTGGGGGGTGCAGGGCGCAGGGGCCTCTGGCAGCAGTAGCAGGTGTCTGGGGGGGACTCCAGGCTGGCGGGTGCTGCGTTCCCCCTACACACTTCCTCGGCCAGGAACACAGCACCTGTTGGGCTCCTAGTCAAGCAAGTGACTCCTCGGCTGAGACACCTGGCGCCCTCCGACCTGCAGCCCCGCGGTCTCTCCAGCCACCCCCAGGCGGCCCCTGTGGCCTCTGACCTGTGCCCTCGAGGGCCAGCTCGCCCATGGCTCCAGCCAGCTTCCTCACGCTCACAGCCTCCGAGTCGCCCTGGATGTCGGGGACTGCGTTCCGGCGGCCCGTGCGGTCGCAGGAGATGAAGTCCGAGTAGGAGGACTCGACCTCCATCACGCCTGTCGCATCGCTCCGCAGGCCTGCAGGGACGGGGACAGGGGCAGAGGTGAGCGCAGAGCGCCCCGCAGGCGAGACGCAGTTGGGGATCTTCTGGTGCCTGAGCAGAAACCCTGGCACACCCAGAGGACAAACAAACCCAGACAGCACTGTCACCATCGCTCAGAACACGCGGCCACTCTTAACCAGCGCCACGGGCCCTGTGCTCACAGCTGCGGCCTGTTAGGGGCAGCAAAACCTAGCGAATGAGGGCAGGGCAGGAAGAGCGTGGTGGATGGAGGAGCCCGGGCTAGACCAACTGTGGCTGGGGTCAGAGGTGCCATCTGAGCCGAGACCCAAGGCTGAAGGGCGTTACAGAGAGAGGGGAAGAAGACTACAGCGATGGGAATGGCCAGAGGAGGGGGGCCCCGCCCCCAGTGACCTGCGGGGGCAAGCAGGCAGGATGGATTCCGGATGCCATGTGGAGGACTGTGTGCAGGCAGTGGGGAGTTAAGTGTGGGCCACGGAGAAGAGGAGTGACGGAGGAGGGTCCCAGAATGGAGCAGGGCTGGGGACTGCAGCTCTCTTGGGCCAGACCTGAGCTTTCCTGCGAGGGTGGGGGTGGATAGGCAGGCAAGAGCAGAGAGGAGAGAGACGCTGTTCCTACAGCGACAGTGGCTGACAGCCTGGGGAGAAAACCACGCCCATGGAGACTTACTATGGGGCTTCAAGATGGCGTCTGGCACGGCGGTGCCATCACTGCTCGGGATGCCTCTATCCTGTATCACAGTGCCTGGGTCCCACTCCCTACTAATCTTCCAGTTGACGGAAGACCTGGCTGTTGAAACTTCGAAGTTCACTCAAGTTGCGTGATCTTATTTCTATTTTCCATGGACTCTCCGAAGTCCCCACCTACACTGCATTTCACACCCTACTCTGGAACAGGGCACCATGATTCGTCTATCTGCATACTTGGGAAAACAATGACTGATTTGATCGGCCCCCTGGAAATGAACATGGGCCTGCCTGAGAGCACTAGGTTTCTGTAGAAATCTCTGTGCTCACCCACTGGTGCAGTGTTGTGTCACAGTGGACTAAACCACTGTCTACAGTGCTGGCATCCCCTCTGGGTGCTGGTTCGAGTCCTGGTTGCTCCACTTCCGATCCAGCTCCCTGTTGCTGAACCAGTGGAAGATGGCCCACATTCTTGGACCCCTGCACTCATGTGGGAGACCCGGATGAAGTTCCTGTGTTTAGCCAAGCCCAGCCTCAGCCCTTGGGGCCACCTGGGGAGTGATAAAAGCATAGCAGATGGAAGATTGCTCTCTCCCTCTAACTCTTCCAAACATTTCATATAAAATGAATCTTAAGAAATCTTTGGACGCTGGGGCTGTGGCGTAGAGGGTAAAGCCGCCGCCTGCAGTGCCAGCATCCCATACGGGCACCAGTTCAAGTCCCGGCTGCTCCACTTCAGATCTAGCTCTCTGCTGTGGCCTAGGAAAGTGGTGGAAGATAGCCCAAGCCCTTGAGCCCCTGCACCCGCGTGGGAGACCTGGAAGAAGCTCCTGGCTCCTGACAGGCACAGCTCTGGCAGTCACAGCCAATTGGAGAGAGAACCAGCAGATGGAAAACCACTCTCCTCCTCTCTCTGTGTAACTGACTTGCAAATAAATCTCAAAAAAAAAAAAAAATCTTTGTACTGATTCCTGGTATTTCCTTAGAGTATCTTCAAAGTAGTAGAATTCCTGGTGAGACAATTTTTAGACTTCTGACACATTTCCAAGTTGGCACAGTGGTATAATGATGAGAACTAGGATTAAAAGAATTTTAAATTGGGGCTGGTGCTGTGGCATAGCACATAAAGCCACTGCCTGCAGTGCCGGCATCCCATACGGACCCTGGCTTGCATCCAGGCTGCTCCCTGCCAATGTGCCAGGGAAAGCAATGGAAGATGGCCCAAGTGTTTGGGCCTTTGCACTCGTGTGGGAGACCTGAAAGAAGCACCTGGCTTCGGATCGGCTCGGCTCCAGCTGTTGTAGACATTTGGGGAGTGAACCAGCACATGGAAGATCTTTCTAACTCTGCCTTTCAATTAAAAAAATAAAATCAAATTCAGGGCCCAGCATCGTGGCACAGCAGGTAAAGATGCCGCATATGGGCGTGGGTTTGTGTCTCATCTGTTCTACTTCTGGTCCAGCTCCCTGCTGATGGCCTGGGAGAATCAGGAGAGGATGGCCCAGGTGCTTGGGCCCCTGACACCCTGCCTTCAGCCTGGCCCAGCCCAGGCTGTTGCAGCCGTCTGGGGATTGAACCAGGGGACTGAAGATCATTACCATCCCGCCCCATAACTGACTGTTCCAGTTCCTATTCCCACCATCAGCACACAAGTCTGTCCATTTATCTGCAGCCTCGCCAACAAGAGGACACAGCTATTATATTACTGAAAGGCTACTCTGAAGGGGGATGCTAGGATCATTGAGAATTATGATTTTCCTTTTAAAAAATGTACTTGAAAGGGAGCCAGCACAGCAGGTTAAAGCCCCAGCCTGCAGCACCAGCATCCCACATGGGCGCTAGTTCAAGTCCTGGCTGCTCCACTTCCAATCCAGCTCCCTGATAATGTACCTGGGAAAGCAGCAGAGGATGGCCCAAGTCCTTGGGCCTTTGCATCCACATGGGAGACCTGGAGGAGGCTCCTGGCTTCTGATCAGCTCAGCTCCAGCCACTGCAGCCATTTGAGGAGTGAACAAGCAGATATAAGACCTCTCTCTCAAGGAGTTCCAATATGGCGGCATAGGGAGGGCGCCTACTGCTCTAGTCCAGGAGAAGATAGTTTTAAAAAAGTGGAGTGAGTACAGTCTCAGGGAAGAGTTAGGGAGAAAATGGCAGAAGAAATGCTACAGTAATTAGAGACACTGTGCAGATGACAGCCTGCGCACCAGCATTGGAAAGGGAGACCAAACTGCAGCAGCCCAAACCACTGATGCTAGAGCTGCAGGAGCCTCGAGGGAACCCGGCTTGGAGCCTGGGGGGATAATGTACCTGCCAAACCAGAGGAGAAAAAAAAAGAGGAGGGACACATTTCTCTCCCTGATCACTTTACAACGGTGTCCTGTAACAAGTCCATAGAGCAGGCGCCATTTTGGACATACGTAACAGCTGCATCAGCTTGTGCCTGGGCCCAGCAACCAGCCGAGTGGAGGCTCCTGACTCTGGTGGGGAGAAGTAACAGGGGCTGGGAGCTTGTGACTGTGGGAGGCTTCTGCGCTGAGACTATGAAAAAAACTGAGGCTGTGTGGGAGGACTCACAGTGTGGATGGGAGTCTGGGCAGTCACTGTGGGAGACTCCATACACTCAGGGCTTCCTGGTTACCTGGTGAGGGACACTGCTGGGGAATCTGAGCTGACACTGAGGACTTTGTGTGGTCTTAGGCCAGAGTGGACAAATATGCCTACTGGGGCTAGTGCTCAGGTACTGGCCTCCTTTGAGGTGAGGCACTCAGCTGAGCAGAATAAACTTCCCTTCTGATAAAAAAAAAAAAAAAAAAAAAAAAAAAGGGGCCGGCGCCGTGGCTCACTAGGCTAATCCTCCGCCTACAGCGCCGGCACACTGGGTTCTAGTCCCGGTCGGGGCGCCGGATTCTGTCCCGGTTGCCCCTCTTCCAGGCCAACACTCTGCTGTGGCCAGGGAGTGCAGTGGAGGATGGCCCAGGTGCTTGGGCCCTGCACCCCATGGGAGACCAGGAAAAAGCACCTGGCTCCTGGCTCCTGCCATCGGATCAGCGCGGTGCGCCGGCCGCAGCGCACCGGCCGCGGCGGCCATTGGAGGGCGAACCAACGGCAAAGGAAGACCTTTCTCTCTGTTTCTCTCTCTCACTGTCCACTCTGCCTGTCAAAAAATAAAAAATAAGGCCGGCGCCGCGGCTCACTAGGCTAATCCTCCACCTAGCGGCGCCGGCACACCGGGTTCTAGTCCCGGTCGGGGCGCCGGATTCTGTCCCGGTTGCCCCTCTTCCAGGCCAGCCCTCTGCTGTGGCCAGGGAGTGCAGTGGAGGATGGCCCAGGTGCTTGGGCCCTGCACCCCATGGGAGACCAGGATAAGCACCTGGCTCCTGGCTCCTGCCATCGGATCAGCGCGGTGCGCCGGCCGCAGCGCGCCAGCCGCGGCGGCCATTGGAAGGTGAACCAACGGCAAAGGAAGACCTTTCTCTCTGTCTCTCTCTCTCACTGTCCACTCTGCCTGTCAAAAAAAAAAAAAAAAAAATAAATAAATAAAAATAAAAAATAAAAAAAATTAAAAAAAAAAAAGGATATTTACCACGCCAAACCTGGGTATGTCACCTTAGGCATGCCCTTCACCTTGGAGAACTGAACAGAGCTCCCTGGCCACACCCAATATAAGCCTCTACCTATTCACTGAAAACAGACATTCCACTACAGAGGGATAGTACAAAGATAAAAGCCACCACAGCAGAAAAAAGAAAGAAAGCCGACAAGCACCTCCACAAATACAACAACAAGGCACCAATTCAAGAAACAAGAATAAGGAAGACAACATGACGCCCCCAAAAGAACACAACACGTTCAATACTAGATTGTGAAGATGATGAGATGGAAGAAATGCAAGAAATGGAATTCAAAAAACTGATAAGATTACACAGAAATAACCAGAAGCAAATGCATGAACTACTGAAATCCATACAGGACATGAAAGAAAATTTCCCCTATGCATTTGAGATCTTAAAGAGAAATCAAAATGAAATGAAGAATTCAACAAAACAAATTAAAAAAAATGCAGTGGAAAGCCTTAGCAAAAGAATATGTGAAGCATATTGGACTTAGAAGACAAAACACAGGAAATTATATAGTCAAACCAAAAACAAGAAATTAGAAAACTATAAAACACTATTGGGAATCTATAGGATACTATCAAACAACCCAACACATGGATTCTAGGAGTTCCTGAAGGATTAGAAGGCTTTATTAGTGAAATAATAACAGAAAACTTCCCTAATTTGGAGAAAGAAAGGGACATCCAAGTACAGGAAGCACAAAGAACTAATAGACATGACCAGAAAAGATCTTCCCCACAACACATCGTAATCAAACTCACCACAGTAAACATGGAGAGAAGATTCTAAAATGTGCACGAGAGAAACACCAGATTACTTCCAGAAGATCTCCAATTAGACTCACAGCGGACTTCTCATCAGAAACCCTACGGGCTAGGAGAGAATAGCGAGATACAGTCCAAGTCTTAGGAGAAAAAAACTGTCACCCCAGAATATTATCTCCTACGAAGCTCTTATGAATGAAGGTGAAATAATGACCTTCCATAACAGTATTTGTCACCACCCATCCAGCCCTGCAAAAGATGCTTAAGGATGTGTTGCAGAGAAACACAGAACCATGGTCATCAATAAGAAAGAAGGTAAAGGAAGAAAATCCCTCAGTAAAAGATCAAAGGAAGCTCAAAGAATAAATTAGGAATGTCTTTGGAAAAATGGCAGGGCAGGCTAGCGCCGCAGCTCAATAGGCTAATCTTCCACCTTGCGGCACCAGCACACTGGGTTCTAGTCCTGGTTGGGGGCCTGGATTCTGTCCTGGTTGCTCCTCTTCCAGGCCTGCTCTCTGCTGTGGCCAGGGAGTGCAGTGGAGCATGGCCCAAGTGCTTGGGCCCTGCACCCCATGGGAGATCAGGAGAAGCACCTGGCTCCTGCCTTTGGATCGGCGCAGTGCGCCGGCTGCAGCACGCCAGCCGTGGCGGCCATTGGAGGGTGAACCAACGGCAAAGGAAGACCTTTCTCTCTGTCTCTCTCACTGTCCACTCTGCCTGTACAACAACAACAACAACAAAAAATGGCAGGGCAAAGTCATTACTTATCAATAGTCAACCTTGGCTGGTGCTGCGGCTCACTTGGCTAATCCTCCGCCTGCAGCACCGGCACACCAGGTTCTAGTCCTGATTGGGGCACTGGATTCTGTCCCGGTTGCCCCTCTTCCAGTCCAGCTCTCTGCTGTGGCCAGGGAAGGCAGTGGAGGATGGCCCAAGTGCTTGGGCCCTGTACCCGCATGGGAGACCAGGATAAGTACCTGGCTCCTGCCATCGGATCAGCGCGGTGTGCTGGCCACAGCGGCCATTGAAGAGTGAACCAATGGCAAAAGGAAGACCTTTCTCTCTGTCTCTCTCTCTCACTGTCCACTCTGTCAAAAAAAAAAAAAAAAAAAAAAAAAAAAAAAGTCAACCTTGAATGTAAATGGCCTCAACTCCCCAGGTAAAAGACAAAGACTGGCTGAATGGATTAAAAAACAAAACCCATCTATTTGCTGCCTACAAGAAACACATTGCACCAACAAAGATGCACACACACTGAAAGTGAAAAGATGGAAAAAGATATTCTGTGCCAACAGAAACCAAAAAAGAGCTGGTATAGCTGTCCTAAAATCAGACAAAGTAGACTTTAACACAAAAATTGTTAAAAAGAGACAAAGAAGGGTACTATATATGATTAAGGGATCAACAGGAAGATGTAACTACTATAAACATATATGCACTTAATTACAGGGTACCTGGCTATTTAAAAGAATTGTTAAGGGATCTAAAGGGAGACATAGACTCCAATACAATAGTATTGGGAGACTTCAATACTCCACTCTAAGCAATGGACACATCAACCAGACAGAAAATCAGAAAGGGAACAGCAGATTTAATCGACACTATAGACCAAATGGACCTAGCAGATATCTATGGAACTTTTTATCCTACAGTTGCAGAATACACATTCTACTCACCAGTGCAAGGAACTTTCTCTAGAATTGACCACATGCTAGGCCATAAAGCAAGTCTCAGCAAATTCAAAAAATCTAAATAATCTTGGACCAAAATGGAGTGAAGATGGAAATCTGCAACTCAGGAATCCCCAGAGCATATGCAAACACATGGAGACTGAACAACATGCTCCTGAGAGAACAGAGGGTCATGGAAGAACTCAAAAGAGAAATCAAAAAATTCCTGGAAACAAGTAAAGATGACAACACAACATATCAAAATTTATGGGATACAGCAAAAGCAGTATTAAGAGGAAATTTTATAGCAATTGGTGCCTAAATCAAGAAATTAGAAAGGCACCAAATAAATGAGCTATCAATGCACCCCAAGGATCTAGAAAAACAACAGCAAACCAAACTCAAAACTAGTAGGATAAACGAATTAAAATTAAAGAAAACAAAATTGAATGAAAAAATACAAAAGATCAGCAAAACGAAGAGCTGGTTTTTTGAAAAAAATAAATAAAATTGACAGTCCATTGGCCAACTAACCAAAAAAAAAGGAGAGAGAAGACCCAAATCAATAAAACTAGAGATAAAAAAGGAAATGTAACAAACCCCACAGAAATAAAAAGAGTCATCAGGAATTACTACAAAGAGCTGTATGCCAACAAACTGGGAAGCCTAGAAGAAATAGATTCCTGGACACATACAACCTACCTAAATTGAACCATGAAGACACAGAAAACTTAAACAGACCTGTAACCAAGATGGAAACTGAATCAGTAATAAAGGGCCTCCCTGCAAAGCAAAGCCCAGGAATGGATGTAGTCACTGCTGAATTCTACCTGACATTTAAAGAACTAACTCCAATTCTTTTGAAGTTATTCAAAACAATTGAAAGGTAGGGAATCCTCCCAAATTCTTTCTACAAAGCCAGCATCACCTTAATTCCTAAACCTAAAAAAGATGTAACAGAGAAAGAATTACAGACCAATTTCATAGATGCAAAAAAATTTCATAGATGCAAAAATCCTCAATAAAATTCTAGCCAATCTCTTCCTTTCCTTCTCTTCTGTTTTCCCCATTCTGGGCTGCTGTGAAATCCCTTGTTGCTCTCCATCTTTTTCTCTCATTTCCTCACCATCCTTTCCTCCATCTCCGGGACACTGGCTCCGTTTAAGCGACGGCTGGAGACTCGGGGCGAGTGAGGGGGGTCGGCACAGAGTGGTGATGGAGAGTGCCCCTTCTAGGCGTGGACTGAACCGGGTGCATCTACAATGCAGGAATCTGCAGGAATTCTTAGGGAGCCTAAGCCCTGGGGTTTTGGATCGATTGTATGGGCACCCTGCCACCTGTCTGGCTGTCTTCAGAGAGCTCCCATCTTTGGCTAAGAACTGGGTGACGTGGATGCTCTTTCTGGAACAGCCTTTGCTGCAAGCTGCCATAGCCTTGTGGGTGAAGGAGTTCAGCAACTCTCTGCTATGGCCTGGGAAAACAGTGGAAGATGGCCCAAGTGCTTGGGCCCCTGCACCCACATGGGAGACCCAGAAGAAGCTCCTGGCTCCTGGCTTCAGATTGGCCCAGTTCTGGCCAATGAGGCCATCTGGGGAGTGAACCAGCGGATGGAATATCTGTCTCTGTTTCTGCTTCTGCCTCTCTGTATCTTTGCCTTTCAAATAAATAAATAAATCTTTTTTTAAAAAAAGAAAAAAATTCTAGCCAATCGAATCCAACAACACATCAGAAAGATCATCCACCCACAGCAAGTAGGATTTATCTACTTATAATCTACTTATACATATCTTTGGTATGCAGGGATGGTTCAACATTTGCAAATCAATCAATGTGATAGCATCACATTAACAAACTGCTGAACAAAAGCCATATGATTATCTCAACAGATGCAGAGAAAGCATTTGATAAAATACAATACCCTTTCATGATGAAAACACTAAGCAAATTGGGTATTGAAGGAACATTCCTCAACACAATCAATGCAATTAATGACAAACCCATGGCCAGTGTCATACTGAATGGAGAAAAGTTGGAAGCATTCCCATTGAGATCCAGAACCAGACAAGAATGCCCACTCTCACCATTGCTATTCAATATAGTCCTGGAAGTTTTAGCCAGAGCCATTAGGCAAGAAAAAGAAATCAAAGGGATACAAATTGGGAAGGAGGAAGTCAAATTATCCCTATTTGCAGATGACATGATTGTATATATAGGGAATCCAAAAGTCTCCACTAAGAGACTACTGGAACTCATAGAAGAGTTTGGTAAAGTAGCAGGATATAAAATCAATACACAAAAATCAACAGCCTTTGTATACACAGACAATACCAAAGTTAAGATTGAGTTTCTTTTTTAAAGATTTATTTATTTGAAAGAATTACACAGAGAGGAAGGGCAGAGAGAGAGAGAGAGAGGCAGAGAGAGAGAGAGAGAGAGAGAGAGAGGTCCTCCATCTGTTGGTTCACTCTCCAGATGGCTGCAATGGCTGGAGCTGCGCCAATCCGAAGCCAGGAGCCAGGAGTTTCTCCCGGGTCTCTCACGCGGGTGCAGGGGCCCAAGGACTTGGGCCATATTCTATTTCTATCCCAGAGAGCTGGATCGGAAGAGGAGCAGCCAGGACTAGAACCGGCGCCCATATGGGATGCCGGCGCTTCAGGCCAGGAGGCCAGGGCATTAACCCACTGTGCCACAGTGCTGGCCCCTAAGACTGAGTTTCTAAGATCAATCCCATTCATAGTAGCTACCAAAAAAAAAAAAAATCAAATATCTTGGAATAAATTTAATCAAGGAGGTCAAAGACTTCTACAATAAGAATTACAAAACATTAAAGAAAGACATAGAATACCAAAAAATGGAAAAATCTTCCATGTTCATGGATTGGAAGAATCAATATCATCAAAATGTCCATGCTTCTAAAAGCAATCTACAGATTCAATGTAATACCAATCAAAATACCAAGGACATTCTTCTCAGATCTAGAAAAAATGATGCTGAAATTCATATGGAGGCACAGGAGACCTCGAATAGCTAAAGCAATCTTATACAATAAAAACAAAGCCGCAGGCATCACAATACCAGATTTCAAGACATACTACAAGGAAGTTATGAAAACATCCTGGTACTATTGCAAAAACAGATGGATAGACCAATGGAACAGAATAGAGACACTGGAAATTAATCTGAACATCTACAACCAACTTATATTTGACCAAGGAGCTAAAACCAATCCTTGGAGCAAGGACAGTCATTTTAACAAATGGTGCTGGGAAAACTAGATTTCCACATGCAGAGGTATGAAGCAAGACCCCTACCTTACACTTTACGCAAAAATCCACTCAACATGGATAAAGATCTAAATCTACAACCTGACACCATCAAATTATCAGAGAACATTGGGGAAATCCTGTAAGATGCTGGCATAGGCAGAGTTCTTGGAGAA